GCATTCAAAGAGCGACCGTTACAGAGAATATCTGCATTTATAGCCAACCGTTATGCTGATATCCATAACAATTTTATTTTCATTCAAAGGGAGCTTGATTTGGGAATCTTGTCTCCCTAGATCTAGCTATAAATTTTCTTGCGTTTATGTCCCACATGAATTCTATTATACTCCCTCCGGTCCACAATAAGTGATTTTTTGGCTGTTTTCACACATATTAAGAAATTCACCTTTTAACATTAATTAGCAATGAAATTGACCATATTAACCTTTACTATCTCTTCACATAAACACTCCTAACACATACTCCAACACTATTTACTCCAAGGGCAATATAGGAAAATAATAATTAATTAATTCTTGAAATCTGAAAAAATTACTTATTTTGGACCAAAAGAATATCAAAAAATTATTTATTTTGGACCGGAGGGAGTAGAAGAATAATACTTTTGTGGCCCAACATTATGTTCAAGTTCTAAGTTAGCATTGGAACTTTGAAAGAGTAGTTGGATATTATTTAAAAAAAAGATTGTGTGTATCATTGATATTATTTTTTGTCCCACTACTAATCTCAGAGGTCCTAGGGCTAAAAATATAATTTATTTTATTTTCTCACGACATTACCTAGGCATCTTTTCAAGTATTATTCTATCTTTAGTTTTTAAAAATTTATATAGCAGATTATAGTTTGTTATTTTTGTAAGGTTGAGGTTTGGAACTATTCAAGTGGCAGACAAGATTGTACTCAAAACACAGAAATTTTGGTCAAATGTTAAGTCTTCCTTTACTTATATTATTTGCGTATTTGGTACTTGGCTTTTGGCCCTTATTGTCTATTGTTCTTATTTCTCCCTTTCTTTACCCTTTGCAATATTTTATCAATCATGGTTATAATAGAATAAAAGACTAGCATAAGAAATAATTAAAATGAATCTTTCCTCTTGCCTCCTTTTATTTTTCACTTTCCATCAAAAGTAGGAAGATAATTAAACATCGTATCAGAAAATCATTCCTAAATTTTTTTATCAATGCACTTTCAACTCTTAGGGTCGTTTGGTAGCCGGTTAGAGAGGAGTTATCTATGTATTAAATGTAGGATAACTTTATACATTGTTTGGTTAAAAGAAGGGGGAAGAATAATCTCCAAGTAGAAGCTAGCATAAGTTATACAATGTTTGGTTGTTTTATCCTCTTTTTCACATAAAATATAGCATTGCTAATACAATGTTTGGTTCATGTATTTTCTTTTCCGCATAACTAAACATGTATAAGTTATGAGGGAATCTATGTATTATTTATGCAAGGTAGAAGGTGGAATAACTTATACATAATTAGTAATACTTGTATTAAAACACAAAATGACAAGAATACCCTTTATTCAAACTTGTATTTTTTTGTTTAAAAAAATATATTTAAACTATACTAACAATTTTAATAAAAATAAAGTAAGCTAATAATAAATAACACTCATATTACATTTATATTACTAATCCTATATAACTACCGCATAACTAATCCCCGCATAATTAATCCATGCATAACTAATCCCAACATAACTCAACCTTGCATAACTTATCCCTGCATAACTAATACCTGCATTACTTATTCCTGCATAACTAATACATACATAACTAATACCTGCATAACTAATACATGTATAACTAATACCTGCATAACTCTAACCGGTAACCAAACGACCCCTTAGGGTTTAGGACCGTGGGAGGTAACTTAGAGCCTTTTTCGGTGGTTATGGGTTTACACCAAGGATCCACGCTCAACCCGTTCTTATTTGCCCTAGCGCTGGATACACTGACACACCATATCCAAGGAGAGGTGCCATGGTGTATGTTGTTCGTTGATGATATAGTTCTGATTGATGAGACGCGTTGCAGCGTTAATGAGAGACTGGAGGTATGGAGGCAGGCCCCGGAGTCTAAAGGTTTCAAGTTGAGTAGGACTAAGACGGAATATGTGGAATGTAAGTTCAGCGACGTGACAGGGGGAAGCGGATGCGGAAGTCAGGCTTGACTCACAGGTCATCCTCAAGAGAGAAAGTTTTAAGTACTTAGGGTCAATTATCCAGGGTAAATGGGGAGATCGACGGGATGTTACGCACCGTATTGGGGTGGGGTGGATGAAATGGAGGTTAGCGTCTGGAGTCCTGCGTGACAAGAATGTGCCACCGAAACTCAAAGGTAAGTTCTATAGAGCAGTGGTTAGACCGGTCATGTTGTATGGTGTTGAGTGTTGGCCAGTCAAGAATTCACATATCCAGAAGATGAAAGTAGCAGAAACGAGGATGTTGAGATGGATGTGTGGGCACACCAGGCTGGATAAGATTAGGAATGAAGATATTCGGGAGAGGGTGGGCGTGGCTCCGGTGGACGACAAGATGCGGGAAGCGCGGCTTAGATGGTTCAGACACGTGCAGAGGAGAAGCCTAGATGCCCCGGTTAGGAGGTGTGAGCGTTGGCTTTGGCAGGTACGATAAGAGGTAGAGGGCGGCCTAAGAAGAATTGGGCCGAGGTGATCAGACAGGACATAGCGCGGCTCCAGATTTCCGAGGACATGGCTCTTGATAGGAAGGTGTGGAGGTCGAGCATTAGGATTGTAGGTAAAGGGTAGTCGAGCGGTTTTTCCCTTTGTCCCGGTTTTCCTCTTTCTAGCGACGGGTATGATAGTGTTTTGTCTAGCCCTGCTAGAGATTTATGTTGTGTTTCACACTTTTGCATAATATTTGTGTTACTGCTTTTTCATTTATTTGCCGTCTCTCACGTTGCGATATTATTTTTCTGATTTTGTTGTCACAGATCTATTGTCTCTGAGCCGAGGGTCTCCCGGAAATAACCTCTCTATCACCTTCGGGGTAGGAGTAAGGTCTGCGTACATTCTACCCTCCTCAAACCCCACTGGTGAGATTTTACTGGGTTGTTATTGTTGTTGTCGTTGCACTTTCAACTCTTATTAGATCAATTAGATCTAGACCAAATTCAGATAATTGTGTGATATGATAAACTTATCCTTGTACCAATAGATCATGTAGGGATTTATTTTTGACAATATCGAATACTCTTACTAATTTTTTATGATCTCTCCAATAACTTTTCTTTTCATATGTTACTTTTTCATTAACTCCAGGGACTTTTCTCATAAAAAAAACAAAAAACAAAAAAAAAAAACACACAAAACACACAATCTAGTCATAGAATTCTCATCTCTCTCTTTCTCGTTAAATTCTCCACTGGCAAAATTAGTTGTCTTGTCCAGTGTGCAATAGGGTCCAGTCCTCCGATTAAATTCCCTTTCATTGAACGGTACGTGTTCTAGAAAAACAAAACTTACTCAAAAAAACAGTTCGAACAGTGGTAAAAAGAATCAATAAATGGTCAAGTTTACTAAGTCCAGATCTTGAATCTGTATCTGTAATAAGAACTTCTATACTTAAATAATAATTATAAAAACGAGAGACTGAGAGATGAGATCATAGGATGTGCACATGTACTATATTTGACTATTATAGTCACTAGTGACCAATTAATAGAATCATGTACTTTATTGGTATGCAGCAAATAAAAAAAAGTGGACAACATTAGCTGGAGCTGTTGCACTTTGACTAGGGAAAAAACAAATGCCTTGTTTGGCCAGTCAAAATATACTCAAATAGGCCAGTTGCTTACATAACCTAGTTACTCCCTTTTTATTCCTACTTATACTTATGGATTCATCCAATTTTTATTTTGATACATGAACGTCAAAGTTAAACTCTTTTACGTTTATGCATACATTAGTTGTAACTTTTGAGTTCTTGAATACCCAACTTGTAAGAGGAGAATCACATTTGGACTAACTAACAAAGACCGTGATGAGTAATAATTACTCTTTTATCCTTAATCAGAGATTTTGAGTTTGAGTCCCGAGTATGGAGTCCCTTTTGTTAAGGAACTTTACCCTAAAAAGTAGAATTTTTCGACGCGAATCAAACTTTAATCAGACCCCAATGCAGATACCAAATACCGGAAAGAAAAAAAAGGAATCGCGGACTATCACGCCTACACTGCTTTGCCCAATGTAATCAAGAACATCAATTGGTAGAAAAAAGTAAAAGAAAGTATGAACGCATAAATTAATATTATTCTTTTTTTTTTAATTATAAAAACTTGAGTATCGAAGTATTTGAATTCCAGGAGAGCTCATGGAAATGATTATAAGGGAATTAAGATAAATTTTGTGGAGAATTTAAATAAGGTTAATATAAGCTAAAGTTTATGTTTAAGATTACTTTTTAGTAAGTGCCAGAAATAAGACTATTTAAGAAATGTGATAATTTTACAAAACTGATTCAATCACTACTCGTAGAGCGCATTTTCTCTTGTTGGAATAAATTTGAATTAATTAGACAACTGAATTTTGAGTATTAGGGTCGTAAGTTAGGAGGCAGTTGAGCATTTTTCTACCTAGTTTTCGGGTGTGAGGATAGACTGATAGGGTCTATCTTAGATTTCTAGTGGTTTATGTTGTGTTCACACTATTCTCCCATTTTTCTTTACCGGTTATTGTTATTGCGTTTGAACTATTTTCTGGTTTCTTATAATGTTGTTGTTATTTCTATGGTTTCTGTTGATAGTACTGATACATTGTCTCTTTCATCTTTTTCGTTTCTTGAGCTGAGCGTATATCAAAAACAACCTCTCTACTCCATCGGGGTAGGGACAAGGTCTGTGTACACATTACCCTCTCCAGGCCCCAGACCCCTTACTTTTAGGATTTTATTGGGTTGTTGGATAACTACATTTTGAATGAATACCAATTAGTTAAAAATGTGGAGACAAAGAGATACCTTTTGTTTCTTCTTTTATAAAAAATTTACTACTAATATTCTTGTTGTGGTAAGGAGGGTGTCACATCTTTCATTCTTTCTTATTCAAACATGTATAATTTGGGGATTCAAAGTTCAAAGACATGAACTTTTGATATGAGTGTGTTTGGGTGAGTCAGTTTGACTGTAGTTACAATCTATTGGGAAAAAAAGACAAAAGTGGTCCCATTCACCTAAAATTATTCTATTTCATTAGTTGCAATCTACCTATCTTTCTTGCTTAACTTAGATAAGGCCTACTTCTCCTCCTTTTGGCCAACTCTTGTGTTTGTATCTCTTTGTTCTCTTCTCATTTTTTCCCACTCAGATTTCATATATTTTTGTTAGTTTCTCACCCCACTTCTTCTTCTTTCATGTGCTTTGTTCCACTTCAAACTGCAACCTTACAAAACAATCTTAGCCCTACTCTTCCACTCTCTTTTTATTGGCTCATAAAAACAGGATATATGTCTTTTAGACACAACTCATTCTGTTATTCTATGTTCAATCAACCAAGTGTAAACTCATCATTCCAACTCTCTTGTCATTTCTACACTTCCCTTTTGGAATTAAACTAAAATCCCACTTCAAGATTTATTTTATTTCACTTGAATATTTCTTTAAGTACTTTAACATCATCTGCTCGCAGATCGTAAGGTAGGGATAAAGTCTGCATACATATTGCCCTCCCCAAACTCCAGTTGTGAGATCTCACTATATAATTGATTATTCTTGGTTGTTTTTGCTATACTTTTGGTCAATGAAGGAGCCTGAAATGGCAATTCCTCCCTTATTTAGGTGTCCAATAAGCCTAGATTTGCTTAAAGATCCAGTCACTTTAAGCACAGGCCAAACATATGATAGATCCAGCATTGAAAAATGGCTATCTTGTGGCAATTCAACTTGTCCTGTTACAATGCAGAAACTCAATGACTCTTCTATTGTACCAAACCACACCCTTCGCCATTTGATTCATCAATGGCTTCAATTAAACTGCAGAAATGGTTATGATCTTCATTACTTTCAAACAATTGATGATTCAATTGTTGGTCTCAAACACAATCTTCAGTCAAAAGAGTCTACATTGGACACAAAAGTTCAAGCACTAGAGAAAGTTCTTGCTTTGTCAGAAGATTTGCCTTTAGAAAACTCTTTCTTGATTCAACTAGACTTCTTCCAAATGATTCTTGAATTAGCCTTGGAAAATGCAGTTGATCAAAGTTCATATTTCCAAGAAAGTCTCATATTTGTGGAGAAAGCACTTGTTTGTGCATTGAAATTGTTGCCATTTAGTGATTTGGGAACTCTCAACATGCTCAAAGAAGATGAATCCAAGTTTACAAACTTCTTGATATTATTCAAGAATGGGACTTTTATCATCAAGAAAAGCTTGTGTCATTTAATAGTGGCAATTTCATCATCTTTGCAGTCAAAGGAACTTATAACTATGTTGGGTAAATCCAAGATTTTAATTCAAGAACTTGTTCATGTTATTGAGTACAACTTAGATGGTTGTGAAGAATCAATCAGAGCTCTTTCAGCATTATCTTCTCTCGAACAAAATCGCGAATTTATAGTGAAGGAAAATGCAGTTAAGGCACTCATAACATACATTTTGAATGCTCCAAATTGCCAATATAGAAGCTTACTAGCACCAATAGTGGCAATGAAAACAATTGAGACATTGTTAGTAGTAGAAAGTGCAAAAGAGAAAGTTTTGAATCATCCAAATGGTGTTAGTGCAATTGTGAAGATGGTATTTAGAGTATCATCAGATAATGAAGGAAGTGAAAGTGCAGTGAATTCTTTAATTATTGTGTGTCATGATTTCATGCAGGCTAGGGAAGAAGCTATCTATAGTGGGGTTTTGACTCAGTTATTGTTACTCCTTCAAAGCCAGTGTAGTGAGAGGACCAAAAATAAGGCAAGAATGTTGCTCAAGTTGTTGAGATCCATGTGCACTGGGGACCAAAAACAACCATTGTAGATTGCACATACATTGATTACATGATTTCTCAGTTGATGTGGCTCTTTGTCTTTGTATTTGCTATTAAAATTGTATCTAAAAAACATATACTGAGTTTTTTGTATAACCATAAAAAGAAGCATAGAATATAAATGGAGTTTGCAGTTTGCACCAGATGAATGGATGTAGACAATTCAAGATTAACTTTTTAAAAGGCCACCTTTTGAGGAATAAAAAATGCAAGATTTTAAGGGACTTTTTGGTGTTCTGTCATTATATCAAGGTACAAAACAAAAATTTCTTAATCACCTCTAAAACAAACCAAAATTTTATCCTTACAAGATAAACAGTGTTGTCCACTTGCAGACAGGGGCGTACGCACGAATTTTTTTAAGGGGTGTCAAAATTTATAGATGAACACAGGAATAAAGGCTCTCTACAATATCTGCAAAAATATAAGCTAGTTGAGGTTTGAATCTCTGACCTCTTGGAGCAAAATCAAGCACATAGCCAACACACCAAGAGACAATTATGTCTATAGCGTCATTTTTTCCTACTTATCCATTTCCTCGCAGTATTAATATATATATTTAGTAAAGTTTTCCGACGAAGCGGTGTCGCGTAACACTGCTACCTTAGGCGTGCATCCACCCCTGCTTGCAGAGTATCAGATTGTAATCTAAAAAATTATGTCCACAAATGATACTTACATCAAATCCAAAATGTCAATGAAGTGGCTGCAAATCATAAAAAATCAGTAATTCTTCCATTTTCCTAGCCTTGATGAGCAGAGTTAATAGAAACTATGCAAGTTATTAATAGCAAATACCCTAAAGTCATTTGTAAACGATCATGATTAAATGATACAAATTTATGTGAACACATATTGCATATATTTATTGGTTTGATATAAATATCGAGTGTGTACAGAAGAATTTGAAGAGCGACAACATGTTAGCTGGTAAGACAACTCATAAGTTAAAAGGAAGGTATATTGTACGTAAAATTATGATATTTTTTTTATTAATATAAAGTTAAATTTACTTTAATATACATAATGGAACTTGTTTTGACAAAATATGTAATTTCATTAACATGTATGTATATTACTTATTGTAAAGGAGGGTGTTATAACTAAAACAGAATCTAAGTTCAGACATCAATCTAATTTAATATTTCCATGACTTTGAATGAAGTTGCTTTCATAAGGTGTTGAATTTTTTTAAAGAATTAACTAATTGGATGCTGCTTATCAAGAATCAATACTTCAACAAACTTAAATTGCGGACCAGTCAAAAAACAAAAGTAGAACAAACAGCTTGTTGCACCAAGTCCCTTTAGAAAATAAACACCATGTTGAATCTTTCTAGAGAAAAAAAATATTCTATTGAATGATCATAGCTTGCTAGTTTGAGCTTTCATTTAGTCAAAATATTACAATAAATGGATAAGTTTATGGGGAGCGTGAAATGAGTGCTAAGAATTTGTTTCTCTACTTGGTAGTGGCGTAGCTAAGAATCCCGTAAGGGTGTTTAAACTTTAAATAAGTCAATAATTAATGGTATAAACTATTTGAAAGAGTCAAATAGACCATACACAGTGGTCTGTGTTTAGTTTGGCAAACAAAATGGGCAGATAACTTTGAATCCATGAACAACATATTACTTTGGACACTCTAAACCGTTGAACTGCCTCATTAAACTATATTAAGCGTATTCAAAATATATAATATATATATATATATATATATATATATATATATATATATATATATATATATATAAAATAATATTTGACTTATATACGCTGTATCATTTTCCAGCGAATGGGGTACGCTTGACCACCCTTGGCATAGTGTGGCTATTCCACTGTACTTGAGTTGCTTGGTAGGATGTATTGGGAAAAATAATATACTATATATTATTGATATTATTAATCCCATGTTTAGTAGTATTTTTCAACCTATGGTATTAGTTATATAACATATTCAGTACTATTCTTATACATAGCAAATTATGACATTAGTAATACCATTATTTTTAATACATGAATAAGCATGTATAAAGACAGAATTATCCTTTCAAAAATCTTTAATACACAAGACCGAACAGTCGATACACCCTATTCAATACTATTCTTGTACACCATACTAAACGACCCCTTAATTTGTTGAAGGTGTTAGTAAAAATAGAAGTGGAGTAGTGCTACATTGCTACCTCTGATGTTGATCCTTTCTTTATCAAATGATTCAAAACGAAGAAGTCACTTTTCTTTGATCATCATCATAAATAAATAAATCCAATGTAATAATGAAAGACATAATTGAATTCGCGTAAGAAGAAAAAATATTAAAGTGTGGCCAGCAATATATTATTACAAGGACGTCATAAAAGAAAAGAACGTGAGTAAGGTTAAAAATGTCCTTTCAATATACTCTTAATACTCTAAGTTTATCAAAACTGATTTTTTTTTAATTTTCATTAAAAATCCAGCAAACTTTGGTTGTAGGTTTGACGGCAACTATGATTTTTTTTAAAAATGCAATCATATTTGGAGGTGCATTTGTTGAAGTTTCAGCTAATTTTCTTTTTAGTCTAATGCAACTTTTTGAGATTCATGTTTACCCTCAAAATCGGATAACAATTAAATTTGTAAGTGGTTTTAAAGATACATGGATTAATTCAATACAAAGCGATAAATTGAATTAGACTGAACAAGTAAAGATATAGTAAATTTGAACCACGCGAGGAGAATGATCCTACCCTTAGCGTAACGTTCACCCTCGATCCGGGCTCATAGTGGCCAATATTGATGAACAAGAAAAAGAGCTTTGATAACAGTAAAGTAATAATGTATTGCTTTGAAATGTGTGTTACAACGTGTGTCATGAATTATCATATACCCCCTTTATATAGTAGGGGAGTCCTACTCCAGGTACAACTCTATAAATGGTAAAAAATCTTTTGATTAACCGATTACCGTTCTTCATTGATACGTGTCGAGATCCCCACCGTGATATCCGGCCGGTCACTGATATTACGACCTTCTGTTGGCCGTGCTTGGTTGCCCGACAATGTTCTTCGAAGTCGTTCAAGGCTAGGACTAATCCCCAATATTCTCGGGAGTGGGCGTCATGCCCCCGAATTCTGACTCAATGAGACCTTTGCCTTGATTTCGGTCCCTTGTCATCATGTCTCGAGTTTGGCTTACCTTGTCGGAGACCAGGGTGTACCATGAGCCCGGTTTTACTAGTATACAGATAGTCCCCTCGTTTCTCAGAGAGTAAATGACGATAAACGACATGAGCTCTCGATTCCTACTTCGATACGTCGTGACAGAAACGACAAAACGCTCGAAACGTCTCGTCAGTCATGTCATAATAGCATTAAATGCATGTCAGTCGCCGGTCGGTTGTCCCTAGAGGGGAAAGTCGTTGAACTCCTATAAATACCCCCTCTTTTGTTCTTTTTTCACTTCATGTAAACCTTCTACCCTCGTACCCTCAGGATTTCATTATTCTCTATCATTTTTACCTCCGTCACTCAAGGTTCTTCAGTACTTTGCACAAAATTTTACTCATCTCCTACTCAAGCCAACAAGTCTGATCCTTCAACTTTCAATCTTTCTCCATCTTTTCAAAGCTTTTCCTTCGTAAAAATGGCAAAAACCTCAAAATCTGTTCCTCAAAATGATGCTCCTTCTTCTTCGCGGCCGACCATTGAGGTCGAGGAGACCGCTCCTGAAGTGGTTGTTGAAGAACCGGCGGAAGATCCCCCTTTGAAAATGTTCATTCCCGGGGGTTGTTCGGTCACAGAGGACTTCAAGGTTGAGAAGCCTTCTTCGGTACAAGGTCAGGGTGAGGAGGCCTCTAGATATATTTGCTCAATTACCGAAGAGGTCCTCCCCTCGGTCCAAAAATACTGCAACTGGGCCGACAAGGACATAGTGGTCCCCGACTTCGAAGAGGCCATTACTACCCATGTCGCGGGATATCTAAGTGTTTACACTTATCCCTTTACATTGGGCCCGGTGGACCCGGTTATCTTAGACTTCTACAGAAGGTGTAACATATGCCTTGGCCAGATTCATCCATATCTTTGGAGGACTGTGATCCTACTCTGATTCTTTGTGAACAAAGTCGATTGGTGTTCGTTCACCATCGATCATCTACTCCACTTGTACAATCTCTGAATCTTCTGAGGGGGACTGATAAAGCTTGTACGCTGAGCCCGCAAAGCCCCATTTTCGAGCATCGACGAGGATCGGGATCGGGGCTGGCAAGGGCGCTTTATCCGAGTGAGGGCCTCCAACCTGGTACCTGCCGAGTGGAGGCTGTTCCCTGAAAGGTGGAACATATCACGTAAGTATGACTCCCTTTAAGCGTTAATTTCATTCTTTACCATCCCTTTTCTTATCGGTGTTTATTGTGGTGCAGCCCTTGCTCGGGTTCCAAATGTTATTCCTCGACTCAAGGAGTGGGTCGAGGGTATTGTGTCGCAGATGCCCTATTCCGAGCGCTCGTGGCACAAACTTTCTAAAGGCCGTTGGGAGGCCCGTTCCCATGGTAAGTTTCCTTTCTAGAGCGAGTCACATTGAACTTCTTCCCCTAGCATTGAGTTCTTACTTCTTTTATTTCCTTTTGTAGGTTTGCCTAAGACCGTCGAGCTTAGGCCTCTGGTTGGAGACGAGGGCTTGCTTGTTGAGTCTCCCGCTCCGAGACAGGCCGGAGAAAAGAAAAAGAGGAGCGCTCCAAGTTCCCCAGGCTTGGACAAAAAGAAAACAAAAAAGAGGATGGTCCGTAAACCAAAGGAAACCTCCAGCTCCGAGTGCTTGACTCGGACTCACTCCTCTAGCTCAGGGACGAGCCCGAGGAAGATGATCTCTTTCTGGCCCATGAGCCGTCTGTGCCCGAGGAATGGGCGACAGCCGAAGGGGAAACGACGGAGGCTAATCCCTCTCAATTTCGTGAGGTCGACGCAGCAGTTAGGGTCGAGAATCCTCAAGATGCCGGTTTTGCCCCGCTCGGTGTTATAGACATTACGAGATCGCCTTCATTCACAGAATCAATGTTTGATGAAGCCCGAACGACGAAGGAGTGATCTAACGATGGGGTCCATGGAGCGA